GATAGTCTTACAGCAAAGAAAGGTCTACAGACAATATAATGGATGTTATGAATATTTGCAAAAGTCTGTCAACTTTACTTACATAATGTAAAGCTCCCATTTTGGGCTATAGAGTGCATGAATACTCTTCATATTTAGGAGATGGTGTTTACAACGGATTTTTCTCAATTAGTGAAGATGATGTTTACACCAACATAATAGTCTAACTTTCACTTCACACAGGGAAAATTTTCTATCTTTTAGAATGGAGAATAATTTAATATTTTTGTTGAATAATAAATACTCATCTGAGAATATGTTTTCTTTAAATGGTATTTTGTGATAAAAACTAAAAATGATATTTATGAGATTCACTAAATTATAAATATATGGATTATTATCTATACATTATACTAATAAGATTCACATAGTTACATTAATTCTCTCTCTCTCTCTCTATATATATATATATATCTACTCTATTAAAATAGAGTCACTATTTTTATCTACTATAATGAAGTCATATAGGACCATTTCATTAATTACTTAATATGACATATTAAATTATTTAAGTTAATCAATCAAATATATATCATATATGCTGAAAATAATAAATTTACAATTTATTTTAAGATATAACAGAATCGGTTGAGAGAAAATCTAACAGAATCTTACTAAAAATTTAAATATTTTTTATTAAATAACATAATAATGAATTTTTTAATTAATAATATCATACTATTATACATTAATATTAATTAAAATTTCACTATAATAACAAAAAAACGAATCCTATACTATTTTAAAATTTCATATTATAGTCTATGTTATATTAAAATAGAATTGCACTATGAATTAAATAAAATAAATAAAGTTGGTAAATGAAACTTTATTTTAAAATTTATTTCACTTAAATAAAAAAAAATTATTCACCATTCAAGGGATTAACATCATAAATTATGAATATTTTTTATACAAAAATCTTAGTGTTAAATTTTTACTATATCTTATTTTTACTTAATTTAAAACTCATAAAACATATTATCTAAAATGAATATATAAAAAATATAATAGTATATAACTAATTTTTAGTTCATGTGTTATTTAAGAAAGATAGGATATGAGAAAGTTTTACTAATTCAGAAGATATTAATGAAAAAATATTTTTAACTGCAAATTTAATATTTTTATTATAAAATAATATGTTGATAAAATATAAAAATATAAAAATATTTTATATTAATAATGTTGAATAACAAAGTAAAAATTAAAGAATATTATATATTAATAATGTTGAATAAAAACCTACACCAATTAGATTATAAATTTACACAATATATAACATAAAATATAAATTATATATTTAAAACATTTATATTAACATTAAATAATTTTTTAATGAAAAATATACCCGCACGAATGTGCGGGTAAAAACTCTAGTATTTGTTAAAATAAAATCAGAATATAAAATATAAAATTTTGTGGTATTTAGTTATCATGATTTATTTAAAATTTGTTAGGATTATAGCTTGCTCTTTTTAAAACATTTTAGTGATGTTAATTTTTTAGATTTTGCAATTTAAATTTAAATAATTTGTGTTTATAATTAACAAAAAAAACACCATTTAACCATGTGTTAGTGGTCTGGTGACAAGCAGATAGATCACATTTTAAAGTTTTATCTAACAGATGCATGGTTCGACGCGACTGCTGGTGGATTTATGGTGATTATCCTGAAAAAATTTTGAACCCAATATAAAGAAATCTATATCTAAATTGCATGTGGTCATCGATGGATTAACATTCGAAACATGGTTGCTGGTGGATTTTTGGTGATTATCTTGAAGGATTTTTGAACCCAATACCAAGAAGTTCATATCTAAATTGCATGTGGTCATTGGTGGATTAACATGAAATAATCACCAGTTTCCAAATATTTTCGACGAGCTTTCCGACGAACTATACACAGATTTGTAGTGGATGGTCATTAATCGCTAGTTGAATCTCTTTTCAGAGACATCGAGAAGATATGGTCAAACACGACATCTTTGGTCCCATATCTACTTATTTGACTATTTTACACGTCCCATCTCCTTTACCGAACTTTTAAATTTGACCCCAAGCTCTCTTTTTCCCTTTGGAAAAAAAGAACTCTTCAAATGGCTAAATGTCAACAAACGATGCCTAAAACACAAAGAACAAACGAATAATATGAATCGTTTTAGTAAACTTGAGATTTGAACAGAAACTCAGCTCTCGTGAGGAAGAAGATGATGAGAGGATTTGGAAAATAATAAAACTGTTTCTGTTAATTGTAAAGTAACGTGATACAAGTGTTTATATACAAACCATAAACTATCCGGTACAAACCGGTTCAGACTAAACCACTATCTAAATGTGTAAACCATATCATCATACTTAATACTCCCCCTCAAGATGTAAGCCATTACATCTTGGACATGAAGAAAACCATATGAATTAGAGGGGACTGAAACTAATATCAAGAAGCTCTGGTGGTCTTGGCAATGAACCATAAGGAATTTCAGTTAAGAGACCAAAAACGAGAAGAAATAGTCACATATTTGCATCTGAAGAAGCCATAGACTTGCTTGAGTATGTGCAGAAAAGCTTGAGGCAAGCTCTGTTTGAGCAGTAGCTCAAGGCCAGAAATCTCGGTTCTGCCAATCTGAATAGGAGCCTGCATAATTCTCAGTAAGAAATAGCTTATCTCAGACATTAACTCCATCGCCTGAAGCAGTCTATCAAGCTCTTGACATCCATGTCTTGTACCCAGAAAGTAAACCACATCATCACACACCACATCACTCCAAATGTGTGAATCATTAAACCAAAAGAACTTCTCAGCAACAGTGAACAGCATCCCAAGACAACTTGTTGAATCCTTTAAACCAGTAAACGTCTTGCAATATTGCAGCCAAAAATCAATTGTTGCATCAGCTTGCTGCTTGTCAAGAGAGAACAAATGAAACCAACATCTTAAATGTTGAACCAATGCAGCAGTTGCAGTGGAGAGGTTGATAAATGAGCCAATAACAAGAGGTGCTAGCATCGGCAATCCTCTGAAGTTCATCGACATCAGTTCATATACTTCACAGGCCAGAGATTCTAAGAGCAGAATATTATGACAATCAGCTAGACAATCACAGAGGTCTAAGCAACATGGATCAACAGCAAACTTAAGTTGCTCCCCCTGTCTACAACGATACTGAAGCCTGTAACTATCTTCTGAATCCATACCACATCGCAATGTTCCATAATCTAGAGTCAGAGGGATTGAGTGTATAAACCAATCACATACCAGAACAGTGAATCTGTGCAAGGAACAAGAGATGAAGCAACTCTCAGGTGGCCGTGGAAGAGATCCATAGAGGAGCATAAGCTCTAACTTCAAATTCAACGATGGATGTTCTACTAATATCTTGTCATTGACAAGAATCATTCCTGTTGACGCAATAAGCTCAGATAAACCAGGAAATAACAGATATGAATCCATCACAAAAGCAGTCATAAGATCATTCGCAATCATTGAAGTTAATCGCAGTAGATCGACTGAAGCTGAAGAAAAATCTTTAGTAATGAAAGAGTTCCAAGCATACACCATAGAAGCAGTTGTATAATGATCGGTGGAACAACCGAGAGAGAACCATGAAATTGGCAAACAATTTGCACGATCCTGAACATCTGAACAACCACGAGCTAACACCAAGCCATAAGACTTAGCTCGAGTCTTCGGAGATGTGAGAACCGGTGAATCCGGTGTTGAACCTCGAAAATTACTCTGGTCTGGACATACAGAAGTAATCAGAGGTGATGAAAAACCTAAAGGATCATCACGAACCTTTGGCAAAGAGATCTTCAACGAATCCCATGTAGCTGTACGAGACTTGAAGTTGCTATCCAATTTCACCATTGATATCGATTCAGTGCTCAAAACAGACAGAAATAAGCAAAAAATCGCACAGGAAACAAGAAGACGAAGCTCGAATCAGCTATAGATGATGATCGTGAAGTGAATAATCCAAGTTCTGTTGACAAACTGGTACTCCACCAGAATCGAACTCGGAGAGAAAACGATCCAACGAATCGCTTCCCAAAAGCAAATCAGAACAATCGAGGAAATCCAATCTTAAAATCAAAAGAATAGAGCTCAGATCTGATAATCAAGCTGATAACTGAAGAATCAAAGCTCGATGCAGAGAATTTAGAACTCTACCGAAGAGACTGGGGCTCGATGAAGATGATTTGATGAAACTGAAGCTTGAGTGACAAATCAAGCCGAAGAAGATGAAAACGTGATCAATCTATGAAGATCAATCTGAAACAAAACAAAGCGGAAGATGATATGAGCGTGAAATCAGGTGTTTCTTTGCTCTGATACCATTTTAGTAAACTTGAGATTTGAACAGAAACTCAGCTCTCGTGAGGAAGAAGATGATGAGAGGATTTGGAAAATAATAAAACTGTTTCTGTTAACTGTAAAGTAACGTGATACAAGTGTTTATATACAAACCATAAACTATCCGGTACAAACCGGTTCAGACTAAACCACTATCTAAATGTGTAAACCATATCATCATACTTAATAAATCGAAATTTTGATTTAGCTAAAACGTTTATCTTCCGCAGAAGGTTTTTGAGTACATGATTCATACTCTCAGTCACTTAAAACAGAACAAGAAGAGAAGTAACTCCACTAAAGATCTAATTTTATATCATAAGCCTGAAAGACTCTTTTCTCTTTCAAGACGACTCCAAAATAAGATCAGCTACGGCGACGCCGGCGACATCAGCGGCGGAGAGAGAATGGTTATGATCTCCTTCGTAAGTAACGATTAACATTGACGAATCATCTGCTGCTCTTTCCACGTGTTTACGAGCTGGACAACCCCTTACGCTACTGCACTTGTAATATCCTCTGTTTTCGGCAAATCAAGAAACCAAGATTCAGTACCGTGTCCAACAAGTTTCAATCTCACACAAACTGAATCTTCATTAAGTACCTTGGATGTGGAGACCCTTTGATCGGTTTCTGTCCGTATTTTCTCCATGAATAATCATCTGGAGGAACGTCAGACATTTTAGCACTTATCGCCGGAACCCTAATCACTCTCCTCTGTTTTATCTTCCTGTAGCGGACAAGAAACCATTTAGATCGAATTTATTACGACAAGGCATAACTTTGAAGTGTCGTGTCGTCGAATCTTGTAATATAATACCTTTTCTTGGAGCAATGGCAACGACCGGAGGAAGCGGATTCGCATTTTCCAGCGATATGATTCTCTGAGTTACATTTTCTCTTTGTTGATTTGGAGAAAGAAGAGACTGTTGTGGAGAGGCTTTGAGTACCAAACGGCGCCGTTTCCGGAGGAGGGTGATGAGGTGAAGAAACTGTTGTGGATAGGCTTTGAGTACCAAACGGCGCTGTTTCAGGATGATAGTGGTGTTTCATGTGCTCTGACTCCGTCGTTACGGAGGAGAGAGAAGAGAAGTCGATCGTTTTTACCGACGGAGAAAAGGAACCTTTACGGATCTGTGGCGGAGGTTGGAACGGCGGAGGTTTAATTTCTTGAATTGGAGAAATAACCGGAGCGCGTCTAAACCGGGCGTGTCCGGTTCGAGTACGATCTAAGAGAGATATGACTCTTTTGAACTTCGACACCGCCGCGTCCGCCGTTGTATTACGAGCTAGTTCAAGATCGGCGGCGGCGGCGGAGGAGGAGGAAGAGGGTTGGTTGGAGTTAAAGCTTTCATGAGACATTAAACCGATAAAGCTCTCCATACTTTTGAGTCCTGACGCTGCAGCTTCTTGAACGGCGAAGCTGTCGACTCCGACGCCGGAGATGTAGTTTCTAGTCATGAGCTCCACCGCCATAAAAGCTCTCTCTACAAGAAGAAGAATGGAGAGAGATAGAGTTGTGGACTTTTTGGGATTTGAAGGGACTAATAAGAGAGGAAAAAAAGACAAAATTAGAAAAAAATGTTTAGGTGGCTGACTATTGACGAATGTGTCACACGTTAGACTTTTCTTTCTTCGTAAATAGGTAAATAGGGTTTGATTCTTTGCTTCTCTTTAATGTCTTTAAGAGTTAACAAGTCAATTTCCATTTTTGTTATGTTAAAGTCAATGTTTGTCAAAATTAGAGAGTTTAATAGTCAAGGTAGATTTCGATCTGTTATTTGAAGACGCATATTAATTTCTGTTGACAGAATTTTATTTAAATGAAATTATAGTTTTATAGATATATTTTAAGTTTTTATTTAAATTTCATTTATTTTAGTAATTTAAGTGAATTCAATTCTATAATAATCAAAATTAAATAATATGTTACTAAATTCATTTTTTCATTGGTCTTTTTATCTTTTTACCATTTAATAATAATTTGTTTAAAATATTTTATAATATAGACTAACTAAAAATTATATTAAATTACTTTTTACATATATGAAAAATGGTTACAAATGACCAAAGTTAAGTACCATTTTTTAAAAAAATACCACTAATAAAGAAATATATTAATATTTGAATTTAGAGTTTAGTAATTATTGTTTATGGATTTAGTATCAAAGGGGTTGGGGTTAAGTTTATTAATGTTTGATAAATATTCTAAAAATTAATTTAATGTTATTTTATTATAAATTTAGATTATTTTTGAAAATAGTCATTTATTAATGATAAATTTGAAAAGTAATACCAAATTTGTGGTAGAATTGATGAATAACTCTTAGAAAAACTACTATGGCAAAAAAATCATAAACTTTGATGGTACACTTCTTAATATACCATTTATGTTCAGGTTAGTTTAAATTATGTATCCTTTTAGTAGTATAAATGTGTTACTCGCAACTAACACCAGTAAAAATATATTTCATCTGTTTTGAAAAGATGTATATTCTAGAAAAAATTGTGTTTTAAGAAGATGTATTTTTTTATATTTCCAATGCACTTTTTATCAGTTAATAATAAAAAATTGTAAATTTCAAAAAAAATTGATAATATTTCTTAAAATCTTATTGGTTTAGAAATGGAAACTATAAAATTACAAAAATTATGCATTAATAACCAAATTTTAATATTTTTCTTAATAAGTGTGAAAATTTTAAAATCTCTTATATATTAATCCTGAAGCACTACAATATATTTTAATAGCCATGTGTCCTCACTACGTTGATTATTAGAATCTTTAGAAAAAAAATTTGGTTCATCTCAATATATAGTATATTTTTTATTAAATTAACTATGCAATTAATTGGTAGTGTATAAAAAATATTATCTCTTATTTCTTTAAATAAAAGCTACGGAATTGCTTAATATGGTTAACAAATATATGACAATTAATGATTTTGAATAATAAAAATCTGATAACAATTTTCTATCTTCCATCATTATTTTTAATTTTATATTTTTAAAATAAATTAAACAATCATATTAATAATATAGTAAAAATTCAGATTTTTTATTATATGCTATATATTGAAATTTTTAAACGATTATAAATTACTAAAATTTAAAGTCAACATTGAAATTTTTGTGATCAATGATTTAACTTTGATATAACAAAATACAAATGATTACAAAATCATATAAATATGAGATATCTTTAATATATATTCAGAGTAAATAAATATATATATTATATATATATTAAATACATAAACATGTTAATTTCAAATTTGCTTTGAGTATGAAGCATCGGTTACTAAATACTCATATAAATAAAAATAATATTTTTTACATTAAATATAAAAATGTTAGTTAAATCATATGAGTACGAACTTCAATTAATAGATATTCATATTAAAATATATTAGATAATTTTGTTAATATTATTTAAGTTTAATTATATATCATATAAAATAAATAATTAAGTATTTTGATTTTTTTACCAACAAAACAATACTGTAAATACAAAGAGGGATGATTTTTATTTATACGTTTACCCCATTTTAACTATATAGGTACTCGCTTTTCAATTATTCAGTATATTTTTACTGCATAATACGTAAATGAACATAAAATAAATAATAATATGTAGTTGTATACATAATAAATATACATTCCTCACAAACGCCACTCTCAAAAGTTATTTACTATTTCAAAAAAACAAATTTTTATATCAAAGTGAGATTTTGAATTTTAACATCCAGATGATACTTTGATATTTTTTATACATGTTAAGAAAGTGATTAAAATGTGTTTATGTTGCTTCTAATTATACTTATTTGACCAATAGAATTATGTAAGATCAAATAGTTTACAGTTAATTTATGCTTAAACTACATATAATTGTATTGAGATTCTAAAATGATATTTTTTATGTAAAAAAAAATGTTAGAATGACACTTATTATAAAATAAAGGAAATATAAAAATGAAGATAAATTTATCACACTTAACATCTAATTAAACTGAGAATTAGAAAACATGACCATTAAAAATTTTGGTCACTGACTGATGTGTGATTAATCTTCGCGTTTGATCGTTCATACAACGAATAAACAAATAACAATTTAATCACTTGATGTAGCCGCTCACCACTAACGACTTGCAAATGCTCCATAAATTTTATAATATTAATAGTTGATAAATAGAGATTTTTTTTTTGGTAAAAATAAAGAAGTAAAGGGGTTGCAGTTGTAACTTTTGCCACTTGGGTTCAACTCAAATTATCCAAATTTTGGTGAAAATTGTCCAAATTTTGGTTGATAATTGTCCAAATTAATTTTGAATTACATGTAAAGTTAAGTGTTTTCATTATTTAAGGTATGCATAGTGATTAAATATATTGAAATTTCAGAAACAGAAGAAAAATCAAACCCTATTCACCTCTGAACCTTTTTGTGATAAAATTCACCTCCCCTCTGAACTTTTTCTGACTGTTATACAACTAAAATGATCAGTCTAAGTGGATCCCATGAAAAGTTATACACTAAATAATGCATGTGATTTCATGATCGTTGTGTTTCAAAAAAAGAAAAAAAAAGATTTCATGATCGTAGACCCAAATTAGATGAAGAATGCATGTGATTTCTTGGAAATGCAACACAGAATACATTTTTGATATAGACAAAAAAAAAACAAAAAAAAAATAATGATAAGGGTATACTCCAAGTTATAACGACGAAAAAATAGAGAGAGAGGACCAGTTTCGAGAGAGCAGCGGGTCAAACTTTGGTCGTCAGCCACTAGATCTGATTTAGAAGTGGGACCCGATTGTAACGTAATCGCAGAAGTTTTGTCCTCGCCAGCTTGGTGGAATTGACCTTTATCAACAACCTTTTGTTATTTTTTTTAATTTTCTTTATTTTACGTCCATTTCTGGTGTCTCAATTTTTTTTTTGAAATCTTTTGAACAAAGCAAACAAATTCTCTAACTAATTTCTAAAGCAACGCTTCATGATATCGATTGAGTCAAACTTAACACATAAAACATTTGAGTAAAAGAGCATTTATCGAAAATTTATCCTTTAATGTATTTTTAAATAGTTTTTTAATAAATAGTGATTGGAAATAGTAAACATTTCAACCTTAGTCAATAGTTTTGTAAATGATTTACCAATCAAAGTCTTAGTCAAAAATTTGACTTTGTTTTATGTTTCAAGTTCTTCATTTCATTGATTCATTGCTAATTCAATTTGTCTTTATCTATTACGTCTCAATATATTAGATTGTAATGATTCATTTCTAATTCAATTTGTCTTTATTTATTACGTCTCAATATATTAGAGTCTAGTGCTTGTTACAACACTCTAACGAATTAGTAATCCGGCCATTATAACCACCGGTTTACCCAGAATAGCCACCAGAAATTTTGAAAATATCTGCCTTGTATACTTTTGTCAAAAATTTAGCTCCAACACAAAAAGATTATTTTTATTATAAATAAGTGAGGAAATATAATTTATTATATTGTTGAAAGTGAGATGAGAGCAAAAGATTTTTTTATTATTAATTTTGTTTTTAAATCGTACAAAAGAGGAAGAGGAGAAGGGTTATTTATAACCCATAACAGTCGGTTAATGTTTCAGATATTCATGAGAGATATGTGGTGAGGACATGTGTATGGTGATAATCACACACATTTGATGAGAGCATGACATCTGTTTCTATAGATGAATAATCATCTTTCTAACACTTCCCCTTGATTATTCATCTTGTATTACGTAGTGCTTCGTTAAAACCTTAGACATGGAAAAACCCGTTGGGCTAAAAACCATGAAAAATGAAAAAGAGTTTACTAACGTAATCTCTTCCTAAACATAACGGACATCACTTTTTCTTCATAAGTCACGCAAATGCCGCATTCCGATACCGTAAACGTGTTTTCGGAATATTGTAGTCGGAAGGGCCTTTGTAAAGAAATCTGCGGGATTGTCGCATGACCGTATATACTCGATGTCCACTTCTTTATTTTTCTCGAGCTGGCATATATACAAGAAAAATCTTGGAGGCATGTGCTTTGTTCTGTCGCTCTAGATATAGCCTTCTTTAAGTTGAGCAACACACGCCGAATTGTCTTCAAACATTTTTGTCGGCTCTTTCTTATCAACTATTCCACTTGCTTCTTGTATGTGGTAACTCATTGATCTAAGCCACACACATTCTCGACATGCTTCGTGAAGTGCAATGGTTTCTGCATAATTCGAAGATGTTGCAACCAGAGTTTGCTTCTGTGAACGCCAAGAGATCGCTGTCCCACCAATTGTAAAAACATAGCCGGTTTGCGAACGAACCTTATGAGGATCTGATAAGTATCCTGCATCTGCAAAACCAACCATACCAAACTCGGGTTTTCTAAAATACATTAAACCTAGGTCAACCGTACCTTGAAGGTAACGGAATATGTGTCTAATTCTGTTTCCAATGTCTATGAGTAGGAGCCAAACTAAATCTCGCAAGTAGATTAGTGGCAAAGGAAATATC